AGCTATAGACCTACGTACACAGATAGTGCCATTAAAAATAATTTTGCTGGAAAGGGTCTGTGTCTAGTACCCTTACAGATCCTATTCAGTTCCTTGAATATGGTAGACATACAATGAACATTCGTTAATGAGAACGATGGAGCCTTTCTAGAATGTTGCCTTAGGAGACCCCAACTAAGTCATTGGTTTAGAAGAGAAACCACATGAAACTGAGGCCCTTCAGGTCCTTTTGTAGAAAAATCCTTTGGACGAAGCTCAAGACTAATCCTTCTTATTGAGAAGTCCACTCCCTAGCAAAGAGTGCTATAGTGTGATTCCGGGATTGTAATGAATAATCATTATTATATGCACAGCAAAACTAATTACTTGGGTTTGGCTGGGAGTTGAGGAAAATGTACTGATTGGAAGATGACAAAGCCACTTAATAGTGGGGTTCACACCACAAATATAAACCAAGAGTCACAGCAATTTGAGATTCATTATCTGCCGGCATCGGTTCAAGACGGCAGCCTTTTTTAGACACTTGCGAATATAACCAAAAAGATACATATTTTTTTTTATGTCTCAGGGAGAGATAATCGCAAAATATTTGGCTACCGCCTACACTAGAATCAAGCACCACAGACCAGAGTCACTGAGCAAGTCCGACTCATAATACCACCGATGTTAGTGACTTCCACGGAGGCCTTTCTGAGCTTGGGGAAGGCTCTTGTCTCTGCTTCTTCAAACGGGCAAATCGAGAGGAGGAGGAAGAGGGAGGGGAAGGTGATGGCCCAAAGTAACAAACGAGACTTCATTTGATCCAACTGCTAAGTGTTTAGCTCCTCCTGATTTGAGGATATCACCACACACAAATCCTGTTCCCTCATCCAGCAAGCCAACAGCCATAATAACTGAAAACACACCACATGCACCAGGCCCCCAAGGAAGTGCTGAGCTTACAACAGTGGCCCCTGCCCTTGGAAAGTTCCTGGGAGAACAGAGAATCCCTGTAAACACACTTCTCTCCCCGCCACCCCCCCGCCAGGAGGCACTGCACTGTTCCCCAGGCCCAGACAGGCGGTGGGGCGGGGAAGGGCGGCTGCCTTGGGAAGTGTTTGACCTCAGAGGATCAGGAAGCAACAACACGTAAGCCCGCTTGGCCTCTAGGGTCTACTTCATCCACAGCTCAGTAGGCTTCAAGGACCTAAGTACAGGTGACCCCCACAGACATACGGGAGCGGCCAACAGCACGGTTCCAGAGCTGGTGCAGAATATTCCAGCTGGCGAAGTGAAAGTGGTCACCTAATCGGACTCTTGAGAGTTGAAGCTCAAGAAGGTGAAACAACCTGCCCACGGCCATGCAGCGAGGGAGGGAAGAGCCAGGGCTCGGAGCCAGGTCTTCCTTCCTCAGCCAAGGGCTCCTTCCGGCACGCACACGAACCCACGGAAGGTCAGCGTGTTTGCAGGAAGCGGGGGCTATTCGACATTTGGACGGACCGCTGCAGCACAGACATGGACTCATCAGTGGAGCACGTCAGGCTGTCCCGACGCGGGTGCCCACGGCTGAACATCGGCCGTGACTTTTTCTGCACATTCGGCTACCCGGCAAGAGCTCTCGTTCTTAACCCGATGAGGACGGCCATCACCCAAACCTGCAGACCGTCCCATGTCCGGGGAGGCAGGTGTGGCAGGTGTCTACCCAGTCCCTCTCCATTCTAGACACAGACAGGCACACAGACATCGGGGCGGTATCCGCACACTCGGATCGTAGAGGACGGTCCCGGGGGAACAAGACGCCGCAAAGGCTGATGGCTGTTAGCGTGCACACAGTCTGTCCGAGGCAGCACACGCAGTCACCGTGCTTACAGGCAGCATCTGACTCACAACCACCGCCTGGAACAGACACCAGGCAGGGGTGGAGGAAACAGGTCGGGAGGCTTCCCTTCCTTCCCAAGCCTGGCATCAGAAGAATCGGATCGAGGGAAGGCCTGTTAGATCACCTCTTCCCTAGGCCAGCTGCAGGGGGGACCTGCACTAGCAATTACCAGGGATGGAATTCCAAAATGAGTCGCAAGGCCCCACGGGCTCCCCAGGGGAGACGCTTCCCCCGCTCAGCTTACATCACCCAGTGGAAGGGGGCCGGCGTCTCTGCCAGGTGACGTTCCGCACACAGGTGTCCTTATGTGTGGCGTGATCTCGGGCCAGATATCTAAGGCTGTTTGACATCATTCTTTTCCCAGGTAGAGTGGGGGTGATGCTGCATGTGGTACAGGACACGGGAGGGGCACAGCGAGATGGCAGTAAGATCGTCCCCGAAGGGCAAAACCGCAAAGTGCCATCATAATGGATCAAATCAGAGGTATGCGAAGTTACCCGAAAGGGACAGAAGAGGCCCCAGGACAGCAGACCTTGAAACAGAACCTAACGGAAAGTAAAGATGATGTCAGCCAGAAGTGTGCGTGCATGGCGGGGGGCCGGGGGGGGGGTGGTGCCAGGAAGGTACCAAAGTCAGTGATGAGCCTGTGGAACAGACCCTCGGACAGCATGCGCCCGACAAGGCCCCTCCCAACATCCCGGGGACCTGGGTACCACGGAGCCAGGGACCAGGAAACGTTCCTGCCACACAGTTAGCAGACTCCCTCCGCGTCACGCTCGCCGGACCACCTCTGGCAATCTGCCTTCTCACATCACTTGCCCCCAATGGAGAAAAACCGAGATTTGCAGGCTCGTCGGGCTAACGTGAGTGTAGCTGGTCCGGGAAACCGCTCGACGTCTCAGAGCGAATAAAGGAAGGGGTGGGCTGGTCTACCCATCAGCCTCTTTTGACCTCTGTCAAGTACAAGTCAGCGTCCGGTCAGGCTCCTAACCTCGAAAAGTGAGGAGAGTCTCGGACTTGGAAAGGCCGACCGCCTGGCGCCCGGCCGGATGGCGGTTCGGGGAGGACACGGCGCGAGTGGCTGGCTTCCCCAGGCGACCGGGTGCCGTGGATGGTGATCACGTGTCCACGAGACCTTCCCAGCGGGCCTGACAAAGGGATGGATGGAACGGGCGGGAAGGCATCTTGTCATGTGGAAAGTGCCCTCACGTCACAACCGTTGCCTCGTCAGGTAGGACCTGAGGGCGCTGAGCCACAGGTTCCTGCCTACCCCCCACCCCCACACACACACACGGAGGGCCGAGCAAAGCTCTAGGACACTCGTGACAAAAGCCAAGCTGGGACTCAGCCCGGCTGCCTGAATCATGAGCTCAGGTGGCACCGACCCACGTTTTTTCCTGAGGGTATCTCTCGCTTTTAAATCCACATGGTTGTCATCCGTGATTTATTTAACTGGGGCCCAGGGACACCACCACCTGATGGGCCTCAGCTTGCTTCAGCCACTCTCCTGCTCAGGGACTCCTAAGAGGACGATATTCTCAAGGCCGTCCCACGGTTAACCACCGTGCACATGTATGTGTGGTGGGGGAAGGGCGGAAAAGAGACCCTTGGAATAAGAACAAGACGAGGACTGTGGCCCCGCTGTGGGGGTTTATAAGGTCAAAAACATCTAAGACGCCATTACAAACTCCCTACCACTTGTGAATTTTTAAGGTGTTCTTTACAAACAGTATCATGTGCTATTTTTCCCTATATACTTCCAACCTCATAGCCATAACACTTTCTTGAACCACCCTTAAAGATATTTAGGGAGCACAAGAGAGCAAGTTTTAGTACATGGGAGACCTTTGTAAACTCCAGCTGTCCAGAGAAAAAATTGGCTACCGAAGGAAGCAGTCAAGTCCCCACCACTGTGTGGCATCTGGTCACACGCTGGGTAATGTCTTTGGTCGAGGACACAGAGCAGATTTAAATCCTTGGATTGCCAACACCTTTCCACACCCCTCTCAACCACTCGATTCTCTGAGCTTATGTCACCTACAACCAGGCCCTTGTCTTTACTTCCATATCCCCCAGACTCAAGGCCTGCCTTGATTCCCATTCAAATTAACAGCATCTTAGGTTTGGAACGAAAGGCAGCTTGAGAGCTCAGGTCATGATCTCACAGCTCGTGAGTTCAAGGCCCGCGTCGGGCTCTGTGCTGACAGCTCAGAGCCCAGAGCCTGCTTCCAATTCTGTGTCTCCCTCTCTCTCTCTGCCCCTAACCCACTTGCATTCTGTCTCTGTCTCTCTCAAAAATAAACAAACATTAAAAAAATATATATGTATAAAACAAAGCTATCATAAATTAAAAAAGTATCAGCAGAGCTCAGAAACAAAGAAACAAGAAGATTCCTCATCTATCCTCAATCAACCAAGCCCCTTTCCGTTTCTTTCTGGAAACATACACTCTACCCTCTGCCAATATGGACACCTATCTCTTCCCAGGGGTTAGTAACATCATTCTCCCACGACACGTACAACTAACACAAAAACAGCCACGTGTTGAGGCAACATACACCCACTTGCTTGTCTCAGCCCAGCTCAGAGGAATGCCCCCTCCGAACGGCTCAGTCCCTCCTCCCTTTCCTCCCGCCTTGGAGACCCTTGGCCCAGCCTCCCGCACACTGAACAGCCGCAGCGGACGGGTCTCGAAGAACTGTTCAAATAGATGGGCTGTAACAGCAGCAACAGAACACACAATGGGGCTGGACGTCACCTCAGGTGGGACTGAGGGTCATTCCTGGGACAGAAGGCGACAGCTGCTAATGGAGCTTCCTCATCTGCTCCCGCCAAACCCTCTTACCCGTCATCACTTGAATTTAAAGTATCTCCTGAGATCAAGACTCCAAGGTACAGTAACAAAAGACAAGGGTGACAGGAGGTGGGCCCTGTCACCCAAGGGACACAGGACTCATGGAGCCAATCGGCTGCCCGGGCCATGGGCCTCAGCCTCACTTCTCTCGACACCATGGCTGGTCCAGGCAGACCGCTCCCCAGATGAGGAAGGATTCTGTCCAGAGAGCGGCCTAGAAGGAAAAGGAGCCCCACGCCTACATTCCTTGCTCCCCTCCTTCCTGCTTTCTGGTTCAGAGTCACTTACCTTTTTCTTCTTCTTCAGAATCACTTTCACGCCATCCACTGAAACCATAATGCTCACCTTCTTCTTCTTGATGTTTTTGGCTTTAAACTCGTACTGCAAGAGAGGAGACAAAGAAGCACGATCCGGTTAGGTCAGGGTATCTGACTCCGGCTAGCCCGTGACCCAGAAAAGAGGGCCACGGATGGGCACAGGGAGACCCGGAGCTTCTTGGGGGCGTAAAAGCAGGTGGGGGAGGGGGGTCTCGGTGTCGGGGCCCAGCCATCAGCAACAACCGAGGGATGGAGGTAATCCATCCTGACAAGATGAAGACAGAGCCCGCTTTCAAAATCTCATCAGAAACCAGAACCTTCCCTCAAAACCTCATTCTGATGTTTCATGACGTTCACTGCCAGGTTTTTCCTGCATCCACCCAAACTCTGGAAACTTGATTCCATCTCCGGTGAAGATGAAGAAGAATTGGCACCTGTCTTCAAATCGGGATTTTTTACATACTAAAAATGTGGAATTCTAAGTTGTTCTAAGTTCAAGTCCCAAATTCCTTTATCTGTAGGTCAGTTTCCAAGTCTACCTATAGCCTTATCAGCCTGAAATTGTCTAGAGCAGTCCCCTATGGCTGCTTCAACCACAGCCCCACACCACTGAGGGACGCTGGCCTCACCCTCAACCCCAGACATTTTTCTGTTACATTTGCCCATTCTTCGCCATTTCTTCTGCTTCTGCAGGCATTTGTAATGGCTGGTACAATTCTGTTTTCCTCACTGAACTTCATTCTGAGCACTTACCCGATTTATTAATACCATTTTCATTTGCTCCCTATCTTGGTAGCACCAACTGGCAAATTCACCTGCCAAGCTAATGAAACATCTGGGCTACACGTTAATAATAATACAAGACCCAAGGCCAAGACCTGTATTCCAACCCACAGCCCCTCTCCTCTGGGACTTCTTATACTCAACACCCTCCCCTATCATGCCACCAGCCAAGCTCGGTGAGGCATTCGGCTACCCGCCTGTACATCTAGAGCCTAATTAATTCTAATTAGTGTGGGGATAGAAATTAACCTAACCTAACCCATCCTAACATGATGAAAACATAACCTACTTTGAAAATCTCATCGGAAATCCAGAACCTGGGCCGTCTGGGTGGCTCGATCTGTTAAGCATCCAACTCAGGTCATTATCTCACAGTTCGTGAGTTTGAGCCCCGCATCGAGCTCTGCATTGACAATGAGGAGCATGCTTGGTGTTCTCTCTCTGTCTCTCTCTCTCAAAATGAATCAAAAAACTTAAAAAAAAGAAAACAGAAAAAGAAATCCAGAACCTTCCACTCCATTAGCGATGCCTTTAAATACTCTGATTTTAGGGGTGCCCGGATGGCTCAGTCAAACATCTGACTTAGGCTCAGGTCATGATTTCATGGTCCGTGGGTTCGAGCCCTGCGTCGGACTCTGTGCCGACAGCTCGTAATCTGTCTCCCTCTCTCTCTCAAACATAAATAAACATTAAAAATTTTTTTTTACATACTCTGATTTTAAGGACTCCACTTAGAGCTTCCAACCCTGTGTGCATCCCGTCCCTTCCACTGACATCTGAGCTGACCTCACTCTGTTGCAGTTAGTGCTGATGCCCTTTGGCTGTCTGCTTCTTATAGACAGGGACACGACCTAACCGAAGCACGATATTTTTCTTTACGTTGTCAGCAAAGGTTCTGGCTTATGGCTGATTTGAGTTTCCAGGTGACAGTGACATACATCACCCCCCACTCCGGAGGTCACTCTTCCTACCCCGTCGACAGCTGTCCTTTTTACCAAGGGGGCTTGAAAGAAAAAGCAAACCAGATCAGCGGACGCACAGGAGACAGCAAACATCAGGCTCAGACTCTGCTTCCGAGCAAGCATATCCAATGGCAGGGAGAAGCGTGTTAAACCAGCGTGTGGCTCAGGACAGGACCTCAGCCGCACGACCCGCCCGCTCCGGGGCAGCGGCTGCAAGCTGGCTAAGGCTGGAGCGCGTCTGGCGTGCGCCTCGGGGCCTGGCTGTGACGCGCAGCGGGTCCCCCGACTGCGTTCTGCTCAGGGGCCGTGCTCAGCAGGGGGCAGGAACCACCCGGGTGGGAGAGCCAGCATGGGTGTGGGCAGGTCAGCCGGCTTTGGCCCTGTGCCTCCCGGGTGAAGTGAAGCGGCTTCATTTCCCACCACACCTGCATTTACCTCCACTCCCCTGGGCTTCCAGTAAACACAGCCTTCTGCTGTGCCTCCCATGGGACCAGGTTGTTAGGTCAGGGCTGTTCCTGCCAGTCAAAGGTGTGCAGAGGGGTGTGTTTCAAAGAACTCAGGCGGGGGGTAAGAGCCAAAGAGTCCCAGAAAACACCAGATGTGGACGAACCCTGCCCCATATCGGTCAATCCCTGCCGGCTTCACCGTCTTTGGTTTCTTCCAAGAGATTACTCACAAGCTCCACATACTTTCTAATTCTGCTTTTCGGCCATAATATCAAACCAGGAAATATTAAGTGTCCACGTCTGCAAGGCACCACGTCACTCTCCCAGCCCTAGTTTTATTAAAAAATTTTTGTTTACTGTTTATTTTTGAGAGAGAGAGAGAGAGAGAGAGAGAGAAACAGAGAGCAAGCAGGGGAGGGGCAGAGAGAGAGAGAGGGAGACACAGAATCTGAAGCAGGCTCCGGGCTCCGAGCTGTCAGCACAGAGCCAGACGTGGGGCCCGAACCCACGAACCACAAGATCATGACCCGAGTCAAAGTTGGACACCCAACCGACTGGGCCACCCAGGCACTGAAATGTTCATTTAAATTTGTTTACAGTGTTTGTTTATTTTTGAGAGAGCATGAGCAGGGGAGGGGCAGAGAGAGAGGGAGACACAGAATCGAAAGCAGGCTCCAGGCTCCAAGCTGTCAGCACCAAAGCCCGACGTGGGGCTCGAACTCACAAGCCATGAGATCATGACCTGAGCCGAAGTCGGTTGCTTAACCGACTGAGCCACCCAGGTGCCCCTCCCAGTCCTCGTTTTAGAGAGCACGCTGCCTGCTGAACCACCTTAGCGGTCCTCTATTTCCAGAAGAATCTGGTAGCTGATCATGTCTCTCTTGTTGGGTCGGCCTCCCTATGGACTCCATGGTCTCTGGGAGGTTTTTAAAAATCAAGAATCCCCCCCGCCCATTGCACACCCAAGGCTGGCCAGAGGCACCTGGCCGGCACCTTGCCTGTGCATCTGAAACATTATTTCTATAGTTCGTGATTTTGAGGAGTCAGGCCTTTTAACACCCTGATCTTCAGAGTTGAAGATGCAAGTAAAGGTTCTCTTCAGAACAGGACAACAGCCTCGAATCCTATCGCTGCGCAGGACCTCCCAGGCGGCTCTTACAGGGTCTGCGGGCTCAGGGGCTACATGGAAAAGCATGACCAAATGGCTGCAGCGGAATCTCAGTGACACAGGGGCGCCTGGGCGGTTCCATCAGCGAAGCGTCCGACTTTGGCTCAGGTCATGATCTCGCGGTCCGTGGGTTCGAGCTCCACATCCGGTTCTGTGCTGACAGCTTGGAGCCTGGACCCTGCTTCAGATTCGGTGTCTCCCTCTCTCTCTGCCCCTCTCTTGCTTGCGCTCTGTCTCTCTCTCTCAAAAATAAACAAACATTAAATTAAAAAAAAAAAAAGGAATTTCAGTGACAGTGGCAATGCAGGTTTCCCTCCGTACAACAGCTGGTGGAATGTTCTGGGGCGCTTCCAAACAAAGGGGGGCAAGACAGGCATGAAATAGCCCTGGTTACAGCTGCCAGTGCTGCCCGAGGCCCGTCTATCAGGGCTCTCGGGTCGGACACATTCCCCATCGACTCCACCTGCCCGGTGGTCCGAGGTTCCGAATCCTTTCCAACCGAAGAGGAAGGACTCAGACTGCAGTCCCGTCAGAAAGACAGGCTCAGGAGGAAGCATCTGTGTTCCGCAGGATAGGAATCCAGTCCACTCAGGCTTCGCCAGGGGCTGAGGAACAAACAGGACTGTCAGGGCCACCGTCTGTGACTCCGGCCAGCCTCCCTCAAAGCCCATGCCAGCTCTGGCTCTCCCCACATGTGGCCAGGCTGACCTGATAGATTTGCTTTGCCAGCCAGGGCTCCCCCAGCAAGGGCAGATTAAGCTCTCTAGGACCTGACCTTTCAGGAAACGAAACAATACAAGTCCTGGAACACTAACCGCTGACTAAAAAAGGCCATGGGGATGTGCCAGGGGTTCATAAACAGAGACTTGGGACCCCGTGTGGGAACAGTGGCCCCAGAGCTCAGTGTGCTGTGCCAACCGGCGAGGCCCATGAAGGGGAAGCTGGGAAGAGGGAGGGGTTCAGGTCCGGCAGGAACCAGGAGGAAGCCCTCAGCAAGTGAAGGAGTCACAGTGGCTGGAAGGCTGAGGGCGGCTGACAGAACAGAGCATGTCCTGAGTCCCCGATGCTTCCCTGTCCCCCCCAGCTCCTAGAACTGCTTCCTGACCCCGTGTGTCTCAGTCCCCGCCACTGGGGGTCCACAAAGGGGAAGAAGGAGGTCTGTGGCAACTGAGCGTGCTCAGTGAAGGGACGAGCCCTGCCCTGGGCTTGAGGACGTATTGCAGAAACAGAAGTAACAGAAGGACTTTCTCAGGAGTCAGGGGAAGGGTTGGGGCCACACCCCTCCCCCAGCAACACACACAATAGTCTACGCCCACGACAACGTCTAGCTTCCTGAAGAGCCCCAGGATTTTCCACAGGGTCCTTGGATCCTTGTCTACCCACAGTTTGCCTAGCGATGTGCTCTCTCACCAGCGACATCAGAAGCTGGCCCCACATGTCACCAGAAAATCCCATTTTGTCCCTCTCTCTATCCTCACTGACCCCACCATGCCTACAGTCGCAAGTCAAGGTGCCCAGGGGCAACTCCACCAGGAAGAGAGATTCCTTTTGCAAAAGCGGATGGTGATGCTCTTGTCAGGCAAGTCCTTGGCTTACACTGGGCTGTGGTCACTGCCTTTCTAGAACGAGTCTGCTCTGCTTCCTGCGAACGATCGCGGGGAATTGAAGAGTGAGCTCTGGTAGCGCCATCGGATTGGGCATCGTA